CCGCGTTTCAACCTTCTCTAGCAATTTGCCAATGCATCTTTGTTTTTTTTTTAACACAGGCTCCTGTCTATTCGTGGGGAGCTTCACGTGCTGGGAACTGGGCCCAGTGTCCCTTACGAAAAACAATGGGATTGAAATTTGAAACAGAGCGATTAATTACATTCGAATACATATGTATACTATTTTTTGCATCTAGTAGGAAACTATTCGACAAAAGGGGGAAAAAAAAGATGCGTTCAATATGTGTTGCTCATGTTAGGACTTCATGGTTGCTGACACTGAGGTTGCAGCAACTTCAACGTGGTTGTTGATGTGCTGGCTCTACAAGAAAACACCTGCTCCCTATACCAATGTCTTTTTTTTTTCTTTATCGCTTGCCACCACCTCGCAACAGTAGTATGCAAACAAATTTGAAATAAACGAAAACAACAAAAGTTTATCGCCAACAAGAGTCAAAGAAGACTTTTCTTTTCCCTCTTTTTTTTGTGGCTAAAACTGGAAAGGGTATCTTCAATGGTTCGGCAATCAAGCCTGCTGTTAGATTGAGGGAAAATATTGATCGAAGAAGTGTGAAGGATAAGCGGTTCAACTCAGTGATTCAACAATCGTGATATGGATGATGGGTTGAAGAATCCTTTAGTATAGGTCTAATAAGGTTTAAGGGTCATTCAAGTTCATAAAGGATTGTTTGTGTGTCGGTTAAGCGATTGCTGTTGTACTGTCTAGGGGAAAATTCAACATTGTGCATTGGTTAAGTGAGCTTACTCAGATCCGGACAACATGTACTTGAAGACATAGAGTGCCCCTGGCTCCTCGGAGTACTCTACTTCCTGCAACCAACAAACCCACATTTTTGCTTTAAGAAAAACAGAACAGAATAGGACGATAGCTAAGCAAATTAAGATGACAGATATGTAAGAAAACTCAGATAGGATGAATGCCAACAGACAAAGACTCCAGAAAGTGTGACACCAAAAAATTGAATACTGCTGGAGACTCTTGCTATAGTATCAGCAGCAGCAGAAAAGGAAGAAGGGAGAGAGAGAGAGAGAGAGAGAGAGAGAGAGAGAGAGAGAGAGAGAGGGAGAGAGAGAGAGAGAGAGAGAGAACAAAATTACTAAAGGATGAGCGGTTCCAGTTCGGAAGGGTAAAAAATACTAAAATTTTAAAAAATTAAAAATCATAAACCATTGACGCGAAAAAAAAATAAAAATAAAAAAAAAATCATAAAATATTGAAATGCTAGGCTACCAGAGCTCCATGGCCCAGGCCACCTGGCCGGGCAACCTGGGCCCAGGGTGCCCAGGCGACAGCAAAAGGGGCCTCAATTTTTCCTTCGTTTTTTGACAGTGGGGCAATTTTGCGGCCACTGCGATGTGCCCAAATCCATCAGATGTCTCACCAAAGGATGTCTATGGCATATAAACGGGGTTCGGAGGGGCCCAAACCACCAGTACACCCGGGCCTGGCAGCTTTCCACCGCGCACCAAACTTTTCCGAACCGCCAGTTGCACACTTTACTTCTTTTTTGGCTGGTGCCGCCAGCCACTGTGGTCCGGTAGGCCCGAGCCTCCGAAAGTTTCATAGACGATGAAAGATTTCTCCGCAAGGCTGGGAGTCTGGGACCATGTACTGGCGGTTTAAAGACATGTGAGATAGTTCAAAGTTTTGTTTTCCAGACTTTTTTCTCTTTTTTAGTTTAAATTTCATAGTGAATTTTGGTGTCCACCTCAGCCAAACGTTGCTTGATTCGCAATTCTGCATCACATAGTTTTCTTTTTTGGATGTTTTGAATTGTTTTCAATTTTCTTTTTTCTTTTTTTGCACTAGGGCTGTCCAGGACCTTGGCCGGGACTTTGCACAGACCTTGCCCAGCCGGGCCATTCGGGCCACTCAAAGGCGACCCGTGCGGCCCTGCTGGTAGCCCGATTAAAATGTCCATTTTATGGTGAAATGTTGTCCGCTTGGGGTCAGGGTCTAGTGCAATAGGGTTAATAATTTCTTCCCTGAGTTTGGGATGTTAAGATTAATAGGCCATGGAGAGGGTTTTCTCAAACGTCAAGAAGTTGAAGAAACTGATGCATGTCACTCATCAGGTGGCGGTATTGCTGGGTATCATTCCATCTTGAGAGTCCACTGATAGCTCCGGGTCGTCGTGGAAGTTGCTGGTGCAACACCCGAAAAACAAACTGAAAAACAAGAAATAACAAAACAATCGCTGGTAGGGATGGGCCCCAACACTCCAGAAAACAAAGCAAAAGAGAAGTAACAAACGCTCCCCAGAATGGAAAGGAGCCAGAACTCCAAGGTTATGTTTTTTTCTTTTTTTTTTCTTTTTTTTTGAACCTGAAAAAGAAAGAGAAAGTAAGAGCTCCAAGTAGAGACAGATCCCCGATCCCAGTTCCAGTGCTCCATCCCCACGTCAGAATTGAGGGTGAGGGGCACAGGGCATGTCGAAGTAGCAGAAACATTGATTGAAGAAATGTTGAGGGAAAACCCTGACAATTGCTCAATGAAGAAATGTCGTAGTAAAAGGCAATCGCGGCTAGCCCGCATACGGATACTAGAGCTACCCTATCCAATCTCTTGCCCTGTTGTTTGCCTATGACCACTCTCTCTCCCTCTCTCTCTCTCTCTCTCTCTCTCTCTCTCTCTCTCTCTCTCTCTCTCTCTCTCTGTGTCTCTGTGTGTGTGTCTCTGTCTCCCATCTCTCTCTCTCTCTCTCCCTTCCCCCCCCCCACTGCTTAGGGTAGAGCGAAAGAGCAATTATTACCTTGAATCGTCTGCAAACGGTTTCGTGAAAATTTCTGTGGTATCATCCTTATGCAGGGGCCCTGTATGGTTCTGATCCAAGGATCACATCTAGTTCCTTATCAAACATCTCATTGCAATGCCACTTAATGGGTAAAGTACTTCGGTAACTTCCGTTTCCATTCATCCTGAGATACCTAAATGCAACCACTGTCTGGTAAATAGGCAAACAACACCAGTGTGTCATGGAATTGCCATTGATACCTTTTAAGCCACCATTACAGCCCCTGGCAAAATCCTGAGAGTGGCGAAGTATGCAAACCGCAAGTTTTCTCTCCAAAAAAGCTAGACAGTAGTGGGACTGGAAGTGTTGCTGCCGGTGGGCGCGGCTTCTGGCAGGCGGGGCGCTGCTGATAGCGGGTGCCTGCTGGCGGGCGCTGCTGATGGAGGGCGCTGCTGATGGAGGGCGCTGCTGGCGGGCACTGCTGATGGCGGGCGCTGCTGACGGCGGGTGCCTGCTGGCGGGCGCTGCTGATGGAGGGCGCTGCTGGCGGAAGCGCTGCTGCTGGTGGGCGCGGCTACTGGCGGGCGCGTGCTGGCAGGCAGAAGGCAGGCTGCTATTTTTGGCTATGAAGGGGGAGTGCTTGCTTTGTATTTTCCTCTAGCGGCACCACAGGCTGGTGCGCAGAGGGAAGGGGAGGTTTGTTTTCGTGAGGGAGCATACTTTTGTGACAAGGATGGTGGAATACTGTCCGTCATGCAGAGTGGGTGCGACGGGGTTTTGTAGTCATCAATGCCTGGAGTACGCTCATCACGCGGCACACGTATCTTCATCATTATCAGTGGCAGGGCAGTAGCTTGTGGGGGGGGATGTCACTCATCAACAATCATCATCATCATCTATTCAGGCTTCTTGCTGGCGAGGGGAATAAGTGATTGAGAGGCATGGTTTTGTCTTCATGTATTAGCTGTGGAGCAAGTGCTGGCGATGGCGAGCGTAGGACCTGGAGGTGGTAAGAGTACCTCTTTGGTTGAAGTGCCGTGATGGCAAGTACGGGCTGCGGGGTGAATGCAGGAGATAGCGAGCTTTCTACAGGAACAGAGCAGCAGCAAGGCAGCGGTGGTATCATTATCAAGATGGTGGTCATCATCAGCTTCATCTTCAGTTTTGTCATCATCATCATCGTTAATCATCATAATCATTATCTTCTTCATCATCATCATCATCATCATCATCATCATTACTGAGAAGGGAGACACTCTTTTAGAAGGGTAACAGCTTCATCATCATCATTATCATCATTATCCTTATCATCCACTCTTCGTTACCTCTTTTCATCGGTAGTCTTTCTCTCTCCTTCTTTCCCTCCTCTCTCATACCCTTCTACTTCACCGTCCTTTTTCTGGGTAGGAGATGGGAGATGGAGGGAGAAGATGGTAGAAAGTGGAGAAGGGGAGGATGGGGGAGGGGGTTGAATATGTGGGAGGGGGGAGGGAGAGTGGGAGGAGATGAGGTAGCGTGAGAGGGGTAGGGATTAGGGATTCTTAGAGAAAAGAGGGAGGGGGGGTGCATCTCACATTTTTTCTTTTTTTCAAAATCTCGTCTGTTTTGTTCTCTTTTGTTCTTATTTGAATGTCAATAGAGTAGAACCAATCTTCCTCGATATGGCCAGCGGGCATGGCTGTCTGGGTGCTGGAAGTTGTGCTGGCTGTTCGTGCGCTGGTTGCGCGCATGATGGCTGCTCATGCGCTAGCTACTAGCGTGCTGGTTGTTCGTGCGCTGGCTGCACGCATGATGGCTGCTCATGCGCTAGATACTAGCGTGATTGTGCTGGCTGCTTGAGAGTTGACTACTTGCATGCTGACGCTGCCTGCTCGTGTGCTGTCTGCTCGCGCATGGCAACCACATCAGAGCTAATCAACATCCAATCATCATACATATAATCATCCGAATAACCATTCTACTCCTATTAAAATAATATCCTAATAAATTATCAAAATTAAATTTCTAAATTTCTAAATTTCTAAATTTCTAAATTTCTAAATAATACTCCAGAATATTCCAGAATCATCGCAACTCTCAACTCCTAGAACTAAGCTGATTGGTATTTTTAACACCTAAATTCCTATATTTCAAATTTCTGAATCTCCAATCTAGATTTCCACTTTCCATGGTTTTATCTTCGCTGCATTTGGTTCCATAAGCTGACTCTCATCCAATTCTATTGTAGAAACCTGGTCTTCTAGATTTGTCTAGTCTGCATTTTCACTTTCCATGTTTTAATTTTTGCTGCATTTGCTTCCATGAGCTGACTCTTATCCAATTCTTTTATAAAAACCTGGTCTTCAAAATTTCTCCAGCGTAAATTTCTTTGGTCCGAATGCCTGTTCCTGGTATCTATATTCTCCTCTCTGCGCATCAACGTTTTTTCCCTGATGGATGGAAGGTGGAGTGAACAGGGGAGAACTCCACTCTGCAGGGGCGACGCCAGGTGGGAGGTGAAGCCCTAGAAGGGGTGCGAGCAGATTTAGTAGGTTGCTCTATTCTGGGGTTGGGGTGGGGATACACATCCCAGGGGGGGCAGACTAGGGTAAAAGGTGAGCAGAGGCATACTTTTGGAGGGAACTGTATGCCTTTGAGGGATAATGGGGGGGAATGTGGGACTGTCCCAAGTTGGGGCTGAGATGGTATGCCTGTGATCTGGGTAATCCGTTTCGGTGGAGGCAGCGTTGGGATAGGGTGGGAAGGAGGGGAGGGGGGAGATTAACTTTCACAGAACAAGTGCTTCAAAATTTCATAGTCTTCAATCATGTTATATCAAACGTTTTGGTGCTCTGTAATTTTTGACGGCATCTGGTCCTCTTCGTCATTCGGGATATAGGATTTCAGAGATGGTCGAATCTGGACTGATATCTGCAGAGTTGCTTTGTTCTATGCCCCTGCTTTGTCGATGCCAGAACGACGGTGGCCGGAGCTGGGGTGTTGCCCTGTAACCTGCAAATGGCAGGAGTGTGAGGCCTTGTAGAGAGATCTGAGAATTTGCTGAGGGAGGAAGGCAATTCAGAGGCGAACCGGGGGGGGCTGCCTTGACAACCTATGGGTCCAGGGATAGTCTAGGTGGCGAGAACAAGTCAGTTACGGTTGACATTAGTTAGGATGGCATTGTCTCTGAGATGTAATGTCCTGGTGCAGGGAGGGCTAGAAGTTGTTCTAGGATTAGGAGGCCAGAATTGCTGATATAACATAGTCTTCTATATTTTTACACACTCATCATCATCATCATCATCATCATAAAAAAAAAACCTTGTCTGGTGTTCTGTCATTCTTGGCAGCATCTGGCCTTCTTCCTCATTTGGGATATAGGATTTCAGAGATGGTCGAATCTGGACTGATATTGGCAGAGTTGCTTTGTTCTGTGCACCTGGTTTGCCGATGCCAGAACGACACTGGCCGGAGCTGGGGCGATGCCCTGTAACCTGCAAATGGCAGGAGTCTGAGACCTTGTAGAGAGATCTGGGGTTTTGCTGAGGGAGGAAGGCAATCCAGTGGTGAACCGGGGGGGGCTGCCTTGACAACCTATGGGTCCGGGGATAGTCCAGGTGGCGAGAACAGGTCAACTTTGGTTGACGTTGGTTAGGATGGCATTGTCTCTGAGATGTTGTGTCCGGGTATAGGGAGGGCTAGGAGTTGTTCTAGGATTAGGAGGCCAGAATTTGCTGATATAGTATAGTCTTCTATATTTTTTATATACTAATCATCATCGTCATTAGCATCATCATCATTAGTATGATTATCTCATAGTTCACATAGAATCAGCAGATGCTCATCATCATCATCATCATCATATGGGGGACGCTGAGCCCGGTTCTCAGAAATTTCGGTTCGGTCACTCCGAGTAGACTGTGAGGACCCCAGCCTCAATCTTCTTATGGGTAATATCAGCCTTGGGCACTGGGTCCTTTTTTTTTTTTTTTTTTTTAAAAAAAGTTTTCGCGAACTTTTTGGGGTCGGCGCTACAGGACCAAAATGCCTGGCACCACTAGCCAAAAAGAAAAAAAACGGCCAGGCCGTATTCCCCACATAATTAAGATTCAGCCAAAAAGGAAAACCGGCCAGGCCGCATTCCCCACATAGTCCCACGGGTAATGGAAAGTGGGAAAGAGAAACGTTTGAAAACCTTAGCAGCACTATTCAATTTGAGTCTTCAACCTATGCAGCACTATGCCCCTTCGTGAAAAAAAAGACGCCCTGAGTCCTGACATAGTGGTGGCCATAAGTCCGCTCTGGAATTACTGGGCCTTAACATGCTTTGCAATTTCTAGGTCCAGTGTGTAGCGAGTAGTCCTTTGGATTGAAATTCTCTGAACCTCATTACACGTCATTGCAGTTGAATTTTTAAAGCACAATACGATGAATATATCCTTTTTTTTAACGGCTAATTGTTTTAAGCCCAATTATTTCAAATTTCCTGTCAAATCCAGACAGGACACCTTTCAGCCCTGTTTATTACCATAAGAAGAAAGAACATCATTTCAAAAAACAAAAAAAAAAAGGGAAAAATCATGGTGCATTACAAGAGAGATCAAGATACAGTAGTTTGTTTGCATATGTACTGGCATTCACGCCGAAAGCGACTTCAAGAAAATAAAAAAAGACTGACCAAATCTGACAGACTGAGAGGAAACGAAGACTGACCAAATCTGACACTGCTGTCTGCAGTTTGGGAGACCAGTTCACCATATATGTTCCTGCCAACAAAAAACAGGCAGACAGAGAAGAAGGAAAAAAACAGTCACAGCACATTTGCCGTTTTTTTGTAAGTCTTCCCCTCATGGTGACATCTGAGGTTTCCAATATTGTTTTGTCATTCGAGGCATATTCACACAAGCCATTTCGAAAATGCATCTGACTGCAATTACGGTCAGACCTGGATGAATCTGACAGCAATCACGTGCAGAGCTTTGTAGAAAAAAGTCCTAGTGTGAGTGTGCCCTCAGCGTAGCAGAGGCATAACAGATTGGTGGGTACACAAACACTCCACCAACCAAAGGGAAAAAAAAAAAAAAAAAAAAAAACTCAGATTTTTAACATGCCCGGGTTAACCCGGGCAGGAGACCTCCCAAGGAAGTCACCCGGCTGCCCGCCCAGGAGTGCTGCTGCACCACAAGCGGAGCTGCAGTGGGAATAGATTGGAGGGGCAGGGGGGAGTTAACTTCAAACATAAAAACTTCAAAAAACTTGAAAAAAAGACAATTTACAAAGTTTGCAAACTTCGTACCAAGTGTGTGGAAGTTTATGCAGTTCAATAATTTCATCATAAATATCAATAATTAAATTATAATTTATTAATTTAATATTTTTTTTAATCAAATTTAATAGCCTAATAATCACTTTGGAAGTTTGGGAGTTTGGAAATCCACATGAATGACAGGTGAAGCCTCTTCTTCCTCAGGGCGGTAAATGAAGATGGGTGCTTTTGGTCCCACAGGCCCAGTTTCCGACATGAGCTCCACAAGGGTCTACCTGCCTGGTGGCTGAATGGTACACACGTATAACTGTCTGCTGATAAACAAATCATGAGTTCAATTCCTGACTGATACAGTGGAGAAAACGGCCCATAGAGTGCAAAGAGAATGTAATGGAGATTATGGAGTTAGAAAGGTCAGATAGGGAGTAGGGTAGAGGATAGAGAGAAAGCTCAAGAAAAGAGAGGAAAAATGCCATGCTGAAAGTACCTCTGTATATCAACCCTTTCTCGTGGAGGCGCACAAAAGCTTCTACGACAGCACCTGCCACCAAACAGCAAAGTGGGAAGGGCATCAACATTGTTTGTAATGAACACAGCATGCAAAGGCAATGTAACAAAGTTCAACGAGAGAAAGAAAATTGCAGACCTGGAGTTAGGCGGTGGTGCGAGACGACAAGGTGGACGGAAAGGACTACATATGCAGAATACTCGAAAGTGCCTCTCCACTCCCAAAAGTCAGCTCTCTCTGGACCTGGCACACATCTGGGTTTAGAAAACCTATTGAGCGGAACCACAGAAAGCACCATTGTAATCAATATCGTAATGGGCTAGATAGGCTAGAGTTGCAATCATACTCGACTTCTTCACACTTGTCATGTATGCAAACAGCGAAACAGCAACTGGCGACATGCGCCCACACAATACTCAAGATATCGTAACCAGATATGAGTTCTCTTCAACTGGCTATGGCGACTGGGCGCCCACACAACTC